GGGGTGTCTGTCTGCCCATTCTGGTTTCCCCAGGCTTCCTCCTCTGAGGAAGATTGAATGGCCCCCACCCTTCTTCACAGCCACTCAGAACCATTCTCTCCCCCTGCCCCCAGCAAATTCCAGCCGAAGCAGTGGCTCTCCCTTCTCTGGACAGAACCTTTCTCCTCATCCTGAGGCCCAGCAAGGGGGTAGTGTGTCCCTGGGGTCTCCAACCTGACTCAGACAGCGTGCAGGCCCTTTCCCAATATCCACAATCAGGATTTCTCAGGTTGGGGTCCCTGCAAGGCAAGGTGGGGTAGTGGCTGAGCTAGTACTAGTGGGCTACCTAAACCGAAGATCGCAGCAAGTGGGGACAGGAGGGCTAGGAGCGTGTTGGGGAGCGCACTATGCTGGGAGTCAGAGGCGTGATCCCCTCAGGATTTGTCCTGTGATCTTTGGGAAGTCCTTTCCATTCCTGAGCCTGCTTCTTTATGTGGAACATGACGGTATTGGACTAGATATTTTATGGCTTAGGGGCTGTGCTAGGAAGAGGGAGAAGGAGGAAGAGGAAAGAAACTGGACATAGTGGGATAACACGGACAATGGTGATCCTGGGAAGCCGGTCACTTCTCTGAGCCTCAGCATCCTCATCTGCAAAATGGAAATTGCTAAGAGACTGAAAGATTCTGGAAGATGAACGGAAAGGGGAAATCATGAGTCAGGGTACCCCGGGGAAAGTGAGGGGTGCTGAAAACCTGTGCGTTCCTCAGAATGTGCGGGGACTAGTTTCCTGCAGAGAGCAGGTTTTGGGACTGGGGGTCGGGGTGCGGAGCCGCCAACCGGTGCTGTGGGAGATCGGGAGGAGCTTGTGGAGTTCCGCAGGTGATCCGGGCTCCCGCGTGCCGCATTGAGAAGGGGGGGAGGGAACTCCCGAGGCTGCACCTCCGCACAGTCCCGGGGCTGGATTCCTACATCCGACCGTTCGAGAAGCTCACGTTTTCCCAGCTTTTCTCACCCAGAATCACTTCCTTTGTTTAGAGGAGGGGGTGGGGGAGGAGACGGAGGGCGAAGAGGGAGGGGCCCGCGGGTGCCGCCGCCGCCCCCGCCCCCTCCCGCTCCGGTGTGCGGAGCCGGGATGTCACTCAGCTCCCGCGCCAGGGGCGACGGAGGCCCCAGCGCCGGAGTGGAGTCTCCGCCAGCTACCGTCCCCCTGGACCTAACAGGCCAGCCCTGGGTTCTCCACGCACCCCCTGAGGGAACGACTGCCCAAGGCGTCGGGGTGTGGGACCTAGCCAGAGAGCACAGGTGGCCAGGACCTCTGCCAGCTGTGGTGTGACCTTGGGTAAGTCTATGCCTCGGTGGGTGCCCCATGAGTGTACAGGAGAGGGGTGGATGAGACAACTGGAATGCCCCCTTGGGGCAGACGGTGGGCAAGGATTCCCGGCAGAGCTGGAACGGGATCTGGCGACTGCTTAGAGTCGGGCACCAGCAGCAGCTCTGGTGGGTGGGCGAGGACAAGCGTGCGCGCTCGCCGGCAATCGGAAACGCGGACCCGCCTGGTCCCGGTCATAGTCCCCCAGATGCACGCCTGCTATCCGGTTCCAGGTGCGAAACAGGGCACTACCTCTTTAAAAGCGTCGGGGGCTGAGCCTCTGCCGCACCATGTGATTGCTAGAAAGGCCGGGCTGGGAGCTCTGCGGCGGGAGCCTGGAGAAGGATGAGCCGCCCGGTGCGCTGTGCCCAGAGCCCAGCCCTGCCTGGCGCAGCTCCGGAACTCTGGGTGGCACCGCGCGCGGGGAACTTTGGGCACCGCCTTTGGGACCCCCTGTCGACTGGCAGGCAGGATGGTGTGCTCCCGGTCTCCTGTTCTGTGGACACCTGTGGGCAGAGCCTCGCCTGGGAGACCCCTGTGGAGTGAGTGTGCTAGGAGCCGCCTCACACCTGATACAAAAGCCAGTGGTGGTGAGAGAGCTGCTATTTTAAGTTGCTGAATGGAGCCTCAGAAGATAAGTGAGGGGAGGGGACAGAGGTTAGGCAGATAGTGGGCCTGGGTGCCTGGCCAGCCTGAGCAGGCATTGGATCTGCCAAGTAGGGCACATCTCTGCAAGGCTGCTCCCCTCCTCCCCAGGCTGGCATCCCTACCACGGGCTTCCTGAATACAGGTACTGGCCTCGTGCCCCACGGCACCTGTCTGCTGATGAGCCCAGCTCCTGCCCACCATGCCGCCCTACATCTCGGCCTTCCAGGCTGCCTACATTGGCATCGAGGTACTCATTGCCTTGGTCTCCGTGCCCGGGAACGTGTTGGTGATCTGGGCAGTGAAGGTAAACCAGGCGCTTCGGGATGCCACCTTCTGCTTCATCGTGTCCCTGGCGGTGGCTGATGTGGCAGTTGGTGCCCTGGTCATCCCACTGGCCATCCTGATCAACATTGGGCCACAGACCTACTTTCACACCTGCCTCATGGTGGCCTGCCCTGTCCTCATCCTTACCCAGAGCTCCATCCTCGCCCTGCTGGCAATTGCTGTGGACCGATACCTCCGTGTCAAGATCCCTCTCCGGTGAGTTCAGAGTAGCAGCAAGGTACTCCTTGAAGCACTCATGTTTGTGGATTGATGATGCCCTAGAGAAGATAAAAGTGCATGAGGCTCCTGGTCAGTCGGGTGTTCTCTGGTGGTGGGGCCCAGCCCTTACTTTGCCTTCCCAGGCTGTGTGGGGATGCCAGGCTGATCTACAGTTGAAGACGCAGGAGGAGGTTGGGTGATTAGAGAATTATGAACCTGGCAGTGCCAGTGACCTCAGTGCTACAGCGGCTGCAGCCCAGGAACCTGAGGCTGCCTGTAGGGCTGGGAGTGGAGGTGGAACATTTGAAGGGGCCACTAAGATGGTTGACAGTCCTGGGTGTGAATGAGTTGAGTTCTACAAGCCTCAGAGAGGAGGAGGAGGACAACAGAGATCTAGGGCAGGGTTGAAGATGTTCTGAGGGTAGCACACCTGGCCAGGGGTGCTGTTGCTTCTCCAGGCTGGCTTCGGGAAGACACTCTAGCTCACTTGTTCTTCAAGTGTTTCTGTGCCAGCCAGCTCCACCCTCTGGGGCTATCCTGCTGAACCTGGCTCCCTCTGAGGGGATCTCTGCTGCAGGCAGGAGGAGGAATGCCCACCTGCTCCTCACTGTTGCAGAAGTGCTTTGCTGCATCTAGGCAGGCCAGGGTGGGGGGCCTGATGGCAGTCCTCAGTGTGTGGGGGGATGCATCTACCTTGTGGCTCCCTGCCATGTCATAATCTTGGCACCAGGCAGTACCTAGGCCACCAAGAACCAGCAAGTACCCGGGCACATTGCCAGGAACCTGCCCTGCAGGGACACTTCTGAGTGTGCTTGCCCCCTTCGCATTCTTATTACCAGTAGGTTCATTTTCTGATGGGGAGCTCTGGTCATCCCTGGCACCTGTCTTCCCACACAGCTTCCTAACTCCCATATCTGGGACATGGGGCCTCTGGGCTCACTTGGTGGCTTGCCTGGCAGGCCTGGGCACTCAGAGTTCTCCCGTTGGTCACATTTATGCATGTTTAACTTTTCCCAGTCTCTTTTCATGTTGCCCTTTCCCTGCTCTCATGTTCCATGATGGAGGTGGAGCAGGAACTGGAAGAGGGGGGCACAGGCTTGGAGGCTCTCCTGAGGCCACTTGTGGAGAGTTTGATTCAACTGAGTCCTCCTTCTTGATCTCCGTGCTTGGCACCCTGATGTCAGTCTCTCACCCCCACCCCCAGCCTGCCACCCTCACAGCATAGGTTTCCCGGGAAGGTGGATGCAAGCTGCTGCTAAAGGGGGAAGGGAATGCAGTCCAGATGCCATGGAGGCTCAGCTTCCAAGGGCCTTATCTGCTGCCATTAGACCGAGCTTGTTGCTGGCTTGCACAGATCAAGCTGATCTCAACCCATTAGATGGGCTGGGCCTCAGAGCCTGACCATTACTACAGTGACCACATTGGGAGCATAGGCAGATGGGAAGACAGAGGAAGGCTGCTCGAGAAAATCTGCCTGCTGATTGGGTGCCAAGGTGAGCCAAAGGCCCTGTCCTGATGTCACAGAGGTCAAGGACTTCAAAATGTGCCCTGTGGGCCCGAGGACAGGGGTGGCTGTGCCTGTAGGAACTGCAGGCTCATTCCTCCAGGAGGCGGCTGCAGGTGTTTTAAAGCTGGGGGCTCCAGAGAGCTGTCTTTTGAGGGCTAAGGGTGGGGCACAAGTGAACTCTATCTAATGCAGGTTTGGGTTTGAATGCTTTTACAAATTTCTACTGTGTCACCTTGGGAAAGTCACCTATTTAACCTCCTGGAACTTTAATTTCCTCATCTATAAAGGGGGACATTAATAATAGTATGACTGCTTAGGATTCCTTGGAGAATATATAGTGCTTAGTATTATGCCTGATATATTGTATGTAGCCTGTAAGTGGGAGGCTTAGCATCATTTTTAATTTGTGACTAAAACTGGGACTGCTCTGTCTCCCTGACTCAAACACTCATGCTCTTAAGTGGCGACACACAGACACACCGACACAGACAAAGACAGACAGACACACACACACACACACACACACACACACACACACACACCCGACACACAGATACACCGACACAGACAAAGACAGACAGACAGACACACACACACACACACACACACACACACACACACATTCAAGCACAACACATTCCAAAGAGGTGTCAGAGTGCTGTTAATTTATATCTGTATATGTTTACCCCTGGTGGGCTTCCAGTACCGCTAGGGCAGTAACCTGGGCTGCCATCACATCTTTGCTTCTGTGAGTTATTCAGAATGCCCAGCTTCAGTGTCTAGTTCCTGTCACTCTGTAAATGTTGACTGAAATGACTGAATTTCCAGAGCACCTGGGTCTCAAACGGGCCTTTCAGGAGTCTAACTTCTATACTTCTTGCTGTAGCCTATACTTGCCCTCCATTCTACTTTAGGGCCCTGTGCACAGCTATCCCCACCAGCTTAGCATGGCTCCTTCAAAGCTCCTCAGCAGTGTTCTTGGGAAGAGCTTTTCTCCCAAGTTAAAGGCCTAGCTTAACAAGGCTTCTGCCAAGGTGTTGACTACTCTAGATCCTGGCCTGTTATTGCCCAGGTGCCTTGCAAGAGGAACAGAATGCTCTGTTTCCTCTAGTCAGCTGGAGTCACTGGGTGTCAGGCCTTTGAACCTCTGGGTATCTGGCTCCTTGACCTGACATGCCAATCAAAGGTCAACATGGCCCTGGGCCCTGAGAGTAATGCCACCAGGCACTAATGAGGCATGTCTGGGAGTCTGGACCTAGATAGAGCAAGGGTTGGGTTGGTCAGTCAACCCCAGGTTTTAGTTCCTCCCAGTTGGTAGAAAGCTGAGAGAGAAAAGAGATTTACATCATGTAGTGTGATCCATTTACAAATTTTTAAACACTGAAATAGTTGATCATCAATAACTGGTGGTCATTTACATTAGTCCAAATATTATTTGCATACTGCTTCCACATGCTTGATGATTGATTAGCATTTACATTATTCCAAATAGTATTTGCATACCACTTCCACATGCTTGGTGATTGATTAGCTCTTCTCCTCACTCTTAGTTCCCCCACCTCCTCTCCCAGAGCTTTCTTGGTAGTACTCTCTGATAATTTGATGTCTACTCCAGAATGCTTCCTGGTTCTACCAGAAGGAGACCATACAAGGGCTGCTTATGGCTAGGTGGGCTGTAGTGAAGTGAAGGTGTGGCAGGGGTTTGGGAGTTGGTCAGACCAGTGATAACTGCAACCTTGGAAAGGTTCAGTTATCAACCTTTCTGAGCCTTTCCCTCTGCGATAAACAAGGGCTGGATTCAAGGTCACTGAGGTTCTTTTTGACTCTAACTCTGTGGTTCTTCCTCCTCCCGATTCCCGCCTATGCTGTTTTGGGATTGGGAGGATTTTTTACTGTGTTTTTCTGATCTTGGTGATTGATCATGTGGTAGCCATGTTTTATTTTGTATTTATTTTAGCTCATCGACTGTTCATAGCCTCTCAGTAGTTTCTATCCTCATTCTATAACAGTTCTTCAGATAAACTGAGGTCTGAGGCTTGAAAGGCTCAGTAATTTACCCAGACAAACATATGTCAGCTGTCAGGAGCAGAGTCATGTTTGAATGCAGGCCTGCCTACCAGACTTCGTTAACCTGTAAACCCAGTGTTCATGCCTGGGTCCAACAGTTGTCATGTAGGATGTAGACCCCAGTTTTCTCCTCCACTGTAGCTGTCAGTGGCATGCTTTCTCCCCTCTTACTTTTGCCAGTGCCTGTGCCCTCTACTTAGCTCACATTCAGAACCTCCCCTTCCCCTCCTCACCTTTACTCCAATGGGCACCTGAGTCCCTGGCAGCCTTGAAGTCTGCCTTGCTGGTCTGCACTGCAGGCAATGGAGGAGGCCAGGTGTGCTGGGCTGAGTTTGGACAGGAAAAGAAAAGAAAGCTGCTAGAATAAGGTGTGTTTGCCTTTGGGCACTGATTTAGCCAACCACCCCCGCCTCCAGCCTGGCCTTTTTTTCCCCTTTTCTCTTCTTTCTTTCTCTTTTCTTTTTTGACAACTAAAATGCCTTCAGTGCTACCACACCCTAGCAGACATCTGTGGCCTCTGTGTCCCAGAACAGTTGCTTTAGGTCTAAGGATGCATTAGTCATAGGGCAGAGTGTATGAGGCAGAAAAGCTGCCAGAGGAAGCTTTGGAGAGGAAACCAATGGCTGGGGAGAATGGGGCTTGTTCAGGGTCACTGGCTAGGAGCACAGGCTGTGCTCCTGCCAGAACAGACTCTTCTCAGCTCCAAGAAGAAAATGCAGCCTCAGTGGACTAGGTCAGCTGCAACCCAGTGTGATGTGATGAAGGAAGGTGGCTTCGTGATTCTATTTATGCTGGGGTGGCCTGAAGATGATTTTGCAGCCGAATTAAGACACATAGGCTTTTGTTACAGAAGTGTCTGGGCTCACATCAGAGGTGAACATACCCCTTCTTCCTACATTGGGATAGTTTCCAAAAAGTCTTCAAGTGCTTGAGGAACACCTGTTCAGGTGTCAGTCATGCAGAAGCAGGGGAATGGCCAGGGTACCTCACAGAGAGGCCCATCTACCCAGGTACCCTGGGGGTGGAGACTTAGGGGCTGCTCCTTGACATTTGATGTTTATTTCAGAGCATCAAAGCACCATGCTGATTGTGGGAAATGTAGGGAAGAATAAAGATGATAAAATCATCAGTACTTCTGCCACCTACAGAGAACTACTGTTAACATTTTGGTGTTCTAGAAAAAATTTCCACACACATGTATATATATAGCTACATTATTTTTGCATATGGTTAGCATCTATCTATATGTGGTTTAAAACCCTATTTTATTTGCTCAACATTATATTCTAAGCATTTCTACATGTCAACTAAAATTGTTTATTTAGTAAAGAATTTTATGATGATGTAATATGAAATTGTATTATTATTCATCTTTTAGGTCTTAGCTAAAATAGCCTCTCCTGAGGGAATCCTCCCCTCACTA